CTGTCGGGATCAAACTCCAGGCTGTGGGCAGAATAAACCTGCAATACTGCACTCTAACCACTGTGCCACCATTAATTTTAATTCTTTTTAAATGGGGATCAGTCATACTATAATTTGCATTAAAGAAGTCTTGAATCAAATTGGGATGTTTGCTGGTTACCTAAGTTGCTGGTCCACTAAAGTTGGTCAAAGATGGATAATTTTCACAATGCACTGATCTACTTGATAGTTTCACACAATGCTGGTGGTGCTACCCTGTACTTTAGTGTAATGACTAAGAGAGGAAATATGAATATATGAGCAAAGGCAGAATATTTAGCTGAGGCATTGCCAAGCTAACAGTGCATCTAACCGTAACTATATGCAAACTTCAGCTACCCTAATAGGTGCAGAGTGCTGGACTCTAGAAAAGCAATAGCACCACCTGGTGTGCAATAGATGTAAAGCATCTCACAAAAGCCAAACAAAGTTGTCTTGCACATATTATATTTACATAAAATCATAGGATTAAAAAGATGCTTGGGAGTCTTCTTGTCCTACCTTCAAATAATAATCTGTGAGGGGCTGCTAATCAATAGAGACAAGACAAACAGTGGGCAGAGCTGTTTCTCCTCTCCTTGTCTTCCTCCTTACCAATGATAGTTTCCTTGGGCTTTCTGCTTTGACATAATGTCACAGTTTAGGTGACAATCTATAGAGGGAAACCTTGCAGTCTATGTACACCTTTGGAGTCATTGTTACACCCCCAGGCACAAACTTAAATGAAATTAGATATAGTAATAAATGTTGAATGTGGGCCAAATTAAATGACATCAGTGAGGTTTTTACTTAGATGTCAATGTTGCCTGAATTATCCAAAATTGTGAGAATCAAATCTCAGTTTTTATGTTATAATAGATACAATATATATTGTATCTACTAGATATAGTAGATATATTGGTAGATATAGGTAGATATATTGTATCTACCCAATATATTGGGTCTTTCTTGAATCATTTGCTCTTTCAATCAGAAAAATTGTTGTCTTCCAATCCGGGGGGTAAGGTTCTTTTTTGGGCCTGCAATTTAAATTGGCAAAAATAGAGCCAGTCAATTGTAAAACACAGCCAGCCAAACAACTGGACAGAGAGGCCCTTTGCTCGGTTACTCAGGTCCTGGTCATCTTCCGTCTGGACTACTGCAATGCGTTCTACATGGGACTTCCCTAGAAAAGTATCTGGATGCTTCTGCTAGTACAGAATGCAGCCAGGCTAGCAATCTTGGGTGCACGTAACACCTCTACTCTGTGAACTCATTGGTGCTAGTTTGCTTCCAAGTCCAATTCAAGATGTTGGTTATGACCTTTAAAACCTTCCATGGCAAGGGCCAGACTACCTGAGGAATGATCTTCACCCCATTACACTGGCCCATGCCAGGCGGGGAATGTATGCAGCAGTGGTGGGATTCAATTTTTTTTACTACCGGTTCTGTGGGCGTGGCTTGGTGGGCGTGGCAGGGAAGGATACTGTAAAATCTCCAGTCAGAGGTGGTATTTGCCGGTTCTCCGAACTACTCAAAATTTCGCTACTGGTTCTCCAGAACTGGTCAGAACCCCTGGTATGCTGTAGACACCATTAGCCAAATAATTCTGACTGGGAGAAAAAGAGCCTTCTCTGCCATTGCCCCCACCCTGAAGAACAACCGTACCACCACCACAACCCCACTCTCCCAGTTGTTGTAAATGTTTAAAGACTCGGCTCTGCCATCTTGGTTGGGGCTCTGAAACCTCTCCCCGACCTTTTAAATCATGAACTCACATTATTTTATTCCTACATACAAATACATAAATATGTATGTATGTTTTAATGTATATTTGTACACAGTTCAGTCTAACCTCACTGGTCCCGTCCTAATTCTCAGCCCAAACTTTAAGTAGACAGATCTGCTAACACCTAGAAGCAAGCAAAGGTGTAACCAGAAGCTAACGTGGGTTTGTCAAAAACAGATCCCGCTAAACAAATCTTATACCATTCTTTGGCAAAGTGACAATTTAATGGCCCAGCAAAATGCAGTGGACATAGTAGATTCCAGTAAGGCTTTTGACAAAGTAGACCACAACCTACTCCTTGGTTAGCTAAACAACATATGGGATAGACAGTATCACTACCAAATGGATTTGTAAATGGCTGACGAACTGCATTCAATGTGTAGTCCTTAATAGAACTACATCTACACGGAGGGAAGTAAGCTGTAGGGTACCCCCAAGGTTCCATTTCAGGCCACGTACTCTTCAGTATCTTCATAAATGATTTAAATGAGGGAATAGACGGGAAATCAAATTTGTAGGTGACTCTAAACTGGCAGGGATAGTAATACCCCAGAAACAACATCTACTCAAGATCCAGATGGAATCTCAACAGACTTGAACACTGGGCCCTATCCAGCAAAATGAAATGAGATGCAGAAAAAAGTAAGGTTTTATACTTGGTCAAGAAAAAAAACAAATGCACAGGTACAGATTAGGTAAAACCTGGTTCAACAGCAGTATCTGTGAGAGGGATCAGAGAGTCCTATTAGACAATAATTTAAATCTGAGCCAGCAGTATTATTTTGGCAGTAACCAAAACAGCCAATCCAATCCCAGATTGCGTTAACAAAGGGATAAAATCAAGATCACGTGAAGCATTAGTACTGCTTTATAAAGCTTTAGCAAGACTTAGAATACTGCATCCAGCTTTGGCCACCATATTATAAAAAAAGATGTTGAGACTCTGGAAAGAGTGCAGAAAAGATGTTTAGGTGCCTAGAGGCTAAAACATATGAAGAAGGTTGCAGGAATTGGGTATGTGGTGGAAAGAACTAGGAGAGCAGTGTTCCAATATTTGAGGGGCTGCCACAAAGAGGGGATCAACCTATTTTCCAAAGCACTAGAAGGCAAAGCAAGAAAACATGGATGGAAACTAATCAAAGAGAGAACTAATCTAGAACTAAGGAGAAATTTCCTAACAGTGAGAACAATTAACCAGTAGAACAGCTTGCCTTTGGAAATTGTGAGTGCTCCATCACTGAAGACTTCCAAGAAGGCAAGGGTCAGCCACTTGTCTGGGAACGGTACAAGGTCTCCAGCTTGGCAGGGGGCTGGATTAGAAGACCTCCAAGACAAGCACCCTTCCTATTCTGTTAGAGTTTGGCTGCCATTTCAGTTAAAAAAAATTATGGGGCCAAGTGAGGAGACAGAACTAAGTCTTTCACATATTTTTATCTAGAGAACTGCTTCCTCCTCTTGCTACAAGCCTGGCCATGGCCGAAAGTGCCCTCGATACTTTCCCTCAGCTCACTGGTCGGCTTTGGCCATCGCCGCGGGTTTCTCTTCCAGCCCGTTGAAAGAGGGCGGGGCTTCGACCGTAAGGGGGTCGCCGGGCCTTAATTTGGTTTTTGTTTTTAACCTTTCTGTGTGAAGCTGCTGAAGGGAGGATTCTCTCCCTGGCCTTTTTAGCAGTTTAAAACTTGATTTATTTATGTCCCGCCTTTATTATTTGTATAAATAACTTAAGGCAAGGAATTCAGGAGGCAACTGGACTTCCTTGTTTTTTTCTTTGAAGACGTTTCACTTCTCATCCCAGAAGCTTCTTCAGCTCTGACAGGATAGTGGGGAATGGGAGGATTTATATTCCTTCAAAGAAAAAACAAGAAAAGTCCAGTTAGCCTCCTGAAAAAGCACTTTTGGGACAACCATGATTCGGATGACTGAGGATCTCTATGGACCTTAAGGCAACACGCCTTTCTCCTCCTGTTTTCTCCACAGCAACAAACCTGTGAAGTCAAACCTGAGTGCAGTGTTTGTGCCTGTTTTAAGTTTGCAACTTTTGCTTAATTTTCCAATTCTGAGCTCTGAAGCCCCTATCGGCATTCAGCCTATTTAGCTGCAAAGAAGCATCATCTGCTTTTTAAAAACTGTTTTTACGGCCTCGTGGCTACACTCAAGAGCAGGAGTCTCCAAACTTGGCAACTTTAAGGCTTTTGTGGACTTCAACTCCCAGAATTGCCCAGCCAGCATGATTAGCTGAGGAATTATGGGAGTTGAAGTGTAGGAAGTTAGCACCCACCCCTCTCATAGAACATTGATATATCCTAGGAAATATTAAAAAGGCAGAATATTTCTCCTAAAAAGAGTAGAAACTCAGAAGCAGAAACTCACCTTAGAAGTAGAAGCTCACCCCTACCTTTGTTAATGGGTGGGTCATTAAGGCCTGGGCCAGAATACTTTACATAACAAAGATCTCCAGATAAAACTATAGCAATTGCCCAAAGCCCTTTCAGTGCATCCGTTATCCAGCAAAGCTCAACCAAGCCTGGAACTCAGGACAGCCTACAGAGTTGCCCCTGCATGGGAGTCTGACATCCAATCAGAATACAAGCTCCAATTCAAATCCCAACAAAGGTTATAAAACCCAGGCACTCACAGCATTTCAGCCCTTCTTGACCTTCTCTTCTCACCTTGAAGCATGTGGTCATCGTTTTCACTTTGGAGCTTCAAGCCATGTGGTCCTGGTCTATCATTAAACCATCTTTCCAAATAGCCTCCATGTTTCCAGTATCTTTTCCCCCACTTGGAACCGAACCCAGAAGGATAATTCTTCCAACAAAAGTCCAGAAATCTTAAAAGTTGCCAAGTTTGGAGACCCCCCTGTTCAAGTTCGAAAACCCCTGCCCCACCAAAGGCATCCCAGAAGGGACTGGCATTGCAGAGTTGGGTATACCAGTGAGTTTTGCCTTTTCTTTTTTTTAGAAAGGGTGTGTAGAAAAATGCAATTTTATCATCTGATCACCACCCAGCCAGCTACGGAGCCAACAGATGAATCATACACGAATTATAGTCCAATCCAAGGCCAAATGAGCCGGCCTCGATTGGCTCCCCTCTACGATAGCATTTGCAGCCCTTGGTCTGAGATTCTTTACCTCAATTGACTCTCCCCGAGACGGGTGATTCTCCCCCCACTTCCCCGTTAAGTTGCAAATGGTTAGTTATTGAAAAGTGCATGCCGTGGCAAAGGATCCTTCTCTGAGCTGGAATTTCACAGAGCCCACACCCACACCCTGCCTCGCTGGCGATTTTTCCCAACTGCTAGTAAGGCCTTCGCTCTTTTGAACGCCCACACCAACTCCGGGCAATCTGTTCGTCGTGCCAAGTTGGGCACGACTTGTTCCCGGAAGTGTTTTGCACCTAGAGCAACTACTACTAGGCTGTGAGGGAACGAAGGTCACCTGCTGAAAAAGGTAAAACATTGGGAAAAGTTTCGATAGACTTCCGGCAAGGGGTCCAACCTTGGCAACTTTGGACACCCCCGGGGCTAAGGAAAGGCCAAGAAGGGGACGAGAGGAGTTGGGAAGCCTGGTCTCTCTTCGCTGCTTTTGTGCACGGTCGGGGCTTGGCAGAGAGCAGCCGGTGGCGTCTTGCGCCGCGGTGGTTGGCACGGACTGGGCCTCGGGATAGACCCTGCGACTACAACTCCCATCATACTCCCGGCCGGCCCTCCAGAAGGCTTGGGAGCCTCGTCACGCGCTCGGCCTGGGCGGCGCGTGCGTAACCCGCGTGAGTTTGGAGTGTCCGACCTGCGAATTGCGGCGCCCAGGCCGATCCTCTCTCGACCAAGGAACCCTCCGCCGCCCCCCCATTCACCTCTCTCGGCGAGTGTGGTTCGTAAACGACGGGTTGTGATTTTGACGATGTAGGAAATAGCGAGTTACCGTAGCTGGGCTGCCGACGCCTCCACGGCCACTAAGATAGCAAAACCAATTGGATAGTTTTCGGTAGGTTGGATGGTTCCTTTGTATTCTTTGCCCTGGGATTTTTGGCAGCCCGGATCTGATAGCCCTTATCAGAAATTCAGCCTATTGTTGGCAACCATAGTTAAAGGCACAGCAAAACTATCCAGCCACACACTCTAGTTTCTTCAAAAGAGAGGGAGGGAGGGAGGGAGAGCGCGAGAGCATTTTTAGGTGTCAAATGTTTGGGAGATTGTGAACTAGGGTTGCAATGCCTTCTTCTCTCCTTTTAGATCAGAATGGGATTCATCTTTTCAAAGTCTGTCAATGAAAGCCTAAAGAATCAGAAGGAATTCATGCTTATGAATTCTCGACTTCAGGTGGGTTTTTGCATTATAGAAGTGTGTAACAATGGGAAGATTTTAGGAATGCTGCATGGTCCTGTTCTCTCTTCCATTTGAAAAAAAAAAGATTTCTTTTTAGAGATAGGCCAAGTCTTTAAAATACAGTAATAGAAAAATAAAAGATAAAATGAGGTGTCCACGCCTATCCCAGCTCTGTGAAGTTTTCTTTTCCTTGATGGCAAGTTTGACACCTGTGATGTAGACAAATTTTGCCATGCTGTGCAACCATCTAACGCAGGGGACCCCAAATTTGGCAACTTTAAGACCTGTGGACTTCAACTCCCAGAATTCTCCAGCCAGAATAGCACTATACCTAAAAAAGCTGTGATTTATTTCCAAAAGCTGATGGGAAAGGCTCATTTTTCTTGCAAAGCTGGCTGGAGAATTCTGGGAGTTGAAGTCCCACAAGTCTTAAAGTTGCAAATTTGAAAACCCCTTGATCTAACTTCTCCAAAGCCAAACAAGGAAGAGCTGCTGAAGAACCACCTCTTACCTAGAGATGGAGGTGATTGAAAGTGGCAACAAGCCAATTTCAGTATTCCAGTTTCGATATCCCGCAATATTTTTCAGGACATCTCAATGTATCTTTATGTAAAGATATAAGTGGAAAAGTCCATAAAAATAAATCATCAGAATGATGTGATACTTAAAAGTTTTCTGAGGAAATAATATTAAATTTTCTGTTCATAAAATCTAGAAGCTGACTGTTAAAAAATTAAGAACATTGTAATAAATTTGATTGCCACTATAAGTTTTTACTTTTATTTACTGATTCATAACTTAAGAAATAACCAATAACACATGGTGAATCCATGACTATAAAAAGAATCAAGTCTGGTTTTAAGGGCTATACTAAACATACTTTTCACTATATCAAGTATCATCAAATTTGCAGATAGTTCTGTAAATATTTTTAAATAAAAATGTTGCATTCTGACAAGTAGAAGTTGTCATAATATTGAGAGCTTGGCACAATTTTCCTAACTCTTTTGTCTGAAGCTGATGGGAGAGCCTTATTTCTAAGTCATCTAAAACAGTGGCCCCCAACCTTTTTTGTGCCACGGCCCGGTACCGGCATCACAAAATGATCCGCGGCTGGGTACCGGCATCAGCACGCATGACAAGGCAAGCCAAGCCAAGCGACCGGCCAGCCAGCCGTCCCCCGCTTCTCCCCGCCACCTTCAACTCCTCCTTTGTACCTTTGTCGATGGGCTTCGCTTTGGGACGGTTGCTCGGCTCTCCTTGCCTTGGGTGCTGAAAGAATCCTCGCCTTGGGTGCTGAAAGAATCCTTAGTTTTGTTCGAAGCCCCCCCCCCCCTCGATGAAACTAAGGCACGAGGATTCCTTCAGGACCCAAACACCACTTTCCAAACAGAAAAGCTCACCCGGAAGCACTTTCTTGTCAAACAAGATGGCGGCGCCCAGCAAACCGGCGGCCCGGTAGGAAATGTTCCATGGCCTGGTGGTTGGGGACCCCTGATCTAAAATATGTAAGAGACAAGTATTTATGCAGTAATTTGAATAAGTGCATGATATTTATAACCCAGCAAGTAGTTTAAGATAATAATTCTTTATCCTGAAATTATGAAAATAGGTACCAAATATATAAAGGCTGAAAACATTGTTATTCTGTATTACTGAAATGTATAAGTAAAACCTTTTTTTCTTTTTTACATTCAGCTAGAAAGGCAACTTCTGATGCAAAATCAAATGCGTGAGAGACAGATGGCCATGCAGATTGCGGGCACAAGGGAGTTTCTCAAGTATTTTGGATCATTTTATGGCCTTACAACGGTGGCCCTAACAATTGGGTATGCAGTTATTCCCCCCCGCCCCCCCGATTTAAATAGCAAATGAGAGATAGATTTTATTGTTTTTACTGTTACATTCTTTCAGTTTTTAAAGGATACATTTAAAATACAAAATTAACTAATAAATAAATATAGCTGATTGTATATTCCAGTCTAGAGGTGTACATGAAATGAAAAAGGTACTCTGGTCCAGGCACCGACCAGCTATGCATGCTGTATTAAGGATTACAATCACATTAGTGATTATCTCCCATTTCTTTCAAATAACAAATGTATTACATAAGGAAGAGTCCCTCACAATACTGGTTTATAATGTAGTATGGCAGAGTATGCATGCAAACTGTCACTCCAGCTTGGTTTCTCCTGAGCAACCAACTAAGCAACCTGCATTGGATTAATATTATGCCTGAATTGAAATTTTTGATTTATATCTGCAATTGCAATTTCAGTTGGAGCCAACCTAGTTCTATTCCTAGTTTAGCAATATTGGTCTATGAAAAGGGGGATAAACGAAGGCTCCTGATCTGAACAACTAGCTCCTGCAGGATTTTGGACATGGTTTGCCCTTGCCGCCTTCTTAGGATTGAGAGAGCAACTATCCAAAATCACTGAACTAGCTTTGTGCCTAAGGCAGGACTAGAATTCACAGTCTCTCAGCTTTTAGCTGCTGCTTTAACCACTACACCATGTTTGCTCTATGATACATTAAAACAACGCTTCCTGATTGCTTTAACCATTTTTCATTTGCTTTTTATTTGCATTTGTTAGGTTTATATCCCACCTTTCCTTCGGGAGTTGAAAGCACTGTACATAGCACTCCAGCCTTCAATTTTGCCCTTTGAGATAGTTTGGTCTGAATGACTGGTCCAAATTCACCAAGGGAGCTGCTATAGCTGAGGATGGACTTGAAGTTGACTATCTGCATTCTTAGGCTAGCATCTTAATCTCAATATCACTCTGGTATATCAAGCAGTATGGGCTAATAAGGTTCTTTGCTTAGAGTAAACCACTGGAATGGGAAGAGAATTTTCTTACCAAGAAGTATCTTGCATTTTGGTGTGGAACACATAATATTAGAACAAATATTTATCATAATTATCTTCAGTTAACATGGCCAGAAACAGATTTACGGTAAATCAGTAAAACAGTAGGACATTGTTCTGCTATAATCTGGTGAACTGAAAAAGCCCTTACAATAATCAATGAATCAAATGTGGGATTTACAGTTGGCACAACAAAATGTAACTCTTCGCATAATTGCTAGCAAAACTATATTGATAGCACATTAAAAGAACTGAATATGTGTGAGATTTGGTTATTCATGTTATTTGCACAATTATATCAAATGAAAATATAAACTAAAAGTTACAGAGCTTTATTGCTGCAAAACATGTTTAATTTCAGCATTAAGTAATCTTAATATTTTGCATTTAAAGCATTTTATCTGGATATTGATATTACTTTTTATTGCCTAGTTATCTAATATATAATTTTTTTTTTCAATACAGAGCAATAAAAAAGAAGAAACCTCAACTCTTTATTCCAGTTATACCTCTGAGCTTTATACTTGCCTTTCAGTACGATAAGGGGTATGGAACTTTACTACAAAGAATGAAATGTAAGTCCTGTAAATTCCTTAAAGGAAGTTAGTTATTATCTCTTACCAAACTGATGCAATATATACATGAATCCATCTGTTTCTTCAGGTGAAGCTGAGAACATAATTGACACAGACTATGCTGCACTAGAAATGCCAAAAGGGCCTATCACTTTTGATGATCTTGAAAAAGCCAGAAGAGCACAAAGCAAATTTTTTATTGAGAAATAAAATAGGTATGTTTATAATCGCATTGCTGACTTAAAACTCTGATACAAGCGTCGTATGTGGGGCTTTTTCTGAAATTTGAAAAGGTCATAGAAGGGTGCTAAAACCAGATCATTTTCCATCCCAAAGAGAGGCATATTTTTATCTATTTTAATTAGGAGCAGGAACAGACCGTTTCTACTGGTGATCATTGAAGCAAATTGTATAAGCTGATCAAATAAAGTGAAATTTTTTTAAAAAGAATTGTCTGTATGTCGCCTGCTTTATTCAATAAAACCATGTAATACAATATGAATTCTATTTTTTTATTATTTTTAAACTATTATGTTTTTATTCTTTGTATTATCTCATCCTTTTGTCGGCTGACTTCGATACCCTTTGTGGGTATCCATCATAATAGATCGTGAAATACATAGTAATGGCAGAGAAGGGAACAGAATAAAGACACTATTACTGAAAAGAAATCCCACCGACAACCTGCATAGTCCTTGTGCACACAGTCAAGTTTTTGTGCAATATTTTCATAGAAGGGTGCAGCTGCTTTCTAAAGTGATGTTTTAAGTTTTCCTTACACACTTTCCAGGGCGCAGGACAAACAGTAATTCAGAAAAAGAACGGAGTGGTTTCTATTGCCCTGATGAGTTGATTTGGAACATAGACCTTTTCATCTTAAAAAAGCAACAACCCTTTTCATCTGAAGGTTTTTTTTACATCAGCACATTGTTCTCTTTAAAAAAAAAAAAAGCACTTCAAGAACGATTAATTGAACTGTTAGGCATTTTGATCCATGAGCATGGAATCACAACCTAATGTGCGTGTGAAACATTTGTAGCTCTGAAGATGGGTTGTAAATGGCCTTTTTTTTAAAAAAAAAGTCCATTGTAACAAAATGGTTGTTAAACAAGTGGTCACTACTTGTATTTGTAGCAGTAGACTGGGAGATTATCTGGGGTGTCTTTGCTTCCACAGGTAGTTTCCAGTTGTTATTATTTGTGGTAAGCCACGAGGAATCACTGTCATTTGCAGTCAGCAGCAGCAGGCCTGGCTATTAGGGGACAGATTCCCACTTTCCATCATTTTTGTCAAAGTGTGTTTTGTCTTGTTTGATCCCGAGGACATGATATATACCTTGGCTCTCTGTCTGAAGCTTTAGGGCAGGGGTGTCCAACCTTGGCAGCTTTGCTGGCTGAGGAATTCTGGGATTTGAAGTCCACAAGTCTTAAAGTTGCCAAGGTTGGACACCCCTGCTTTAGGGCTTAGTGGTGCACTGATTTTCATTTATATCTATGTAATATTTGGATAGGATCTGAATAATTAAATTCCTCATGGTTAGTGATAATTTATTCATTTTCTTTCTAGGTACAATATTCACATAGACATGTCCTTGTATATTGGATTTCTTATAAGCCATACAATTATTTGGATTATTTATTTTCCCTAACCTATCCATCATGCAACATTAACTGAGTTGTGGTAAACCATTAATACGTATTAGCTATCCTGAGAAAGTAAGTCACTCAAAGTTTCTATGAATTCTGAGTACATACGATACAGGTAGTTCTCAATTATGACCAGAATTGAGGCCAACATTTCTCTAAGTGAGACATTGTTAAGTGAATTTTGTCCTATTTTATAACCTTTCTTGCCACAGTTGTTAAGTGAATCACTGCAATTAGTAGCAGAGTTGTTAAGTAAGCCTGGCTTCCCCATTGTGATGACCCAGGGTGTGGCACAAAGGCAATACAGTCAAATAATAAGTAAGAGTCCCTTTATTAGCTCCAACTTTGCCCCCAATGTCCTAGTTCCTTCTGGGCTGGAGAAAAACTCCCAGGAGAAGCCTTTGGCTGCAGAAATTCAAGTCCAAAACGTGGTCAAAAAAAATTTATAAGTCCAATCAAGGCAAGATGAGGTGATTAATACAGCAGGGCAAGAGAAGGAATTCCAGACATGAAGGAACAACAGTAAATCAACCTGGTTGGGAGGATTCCAGGAACACAGATAACCACAATCAACACAATCAACAGAATCACAATCACAAGATAAACTCAGCTTGCATCTCTTAAACTCTTCCCAGGTGTACCTAATGAAGGGAATCAGGGCCCTTTCCTCCCCCTTAAGCCATGCAACCCACGTTGCTGTCTTCTCCGTTCCTTCCTGAATGCAGGATGAAGAGGGGGTGGGCCTGGGTGTTCCTCTGAACACCGTCTTCCTTGTTCTACCTTTCTCCTGCTCTGCCCAGCTAGACTTTGCCCTTTCCCAATTTCCTCTACAGCCAACGGAGGTACACTCCACTCCCTGTCAGTTGTTCATCTTCCTCCTCGGATTCAGACGGGCATGACACCCATAGACTTTGTCAGAAGGTAGCAATCCTGGGACACTAACTGTCATCATTAGGAGTTGCCAAAAATCTGGATTTTAATTATGTGACCATTGGAATGCTGCAATGATTGTAAGTATGAAAAATGGCCATAAGTTGCTGTTTTCAGTAAACTAAGCTCAGAGGCTGCCAAGGACCCCACAGATGTTTGGCAGGTGTTCCAAAAACATAAGGAAAGTTTAACCATGGACATTCAAGAAACTCCTTAAGATAGATGTCAGCATATGGACAGCAGCCATCCCCTGTATAATCTGGTTCTGAAGAAACATGAGCTGTAAAGTGTAAGAATGACATTTGAATTGTATTCGGAAACACTGATAAACGATGGAAAAAAACAAATCTGAACTGCATTCAGATATTGTGACACTACAAGCATCTAGAAAAGGAACATTACTCAGTGCAGTGTTTGGATCACCTTCAGAGGTAATTACATCTCAAGCACAGTAATCCAATTTAGTGGTGATCAAAGACGAAGGCAAAGTGAGCAGATGAAATCACTGCCGATAAAAGTTACAGCTAGAGTAACATTAATGGTGGAATAGAACATTATGATACCCTGTAAATTAAAGCCCCTGGGATTGAATAAAATATGTGTTATTATATGAACTGTACCATTTGGAATCACTACAGGATTAGTCTGAGCCAGGCAGCTGGCCCAAGAAGTCAACGATGGGATCCGTCAACCCCAACGTAGCTGGGCGAGATCAAGGAAGCAAGCATAACACAAAGTTCAGGAAGATATTTTTACTGTTATACTACAGAATCTTGGAAACTGGACTAAGAGTTTTGAAGTCTAACTTATACTGAGTTAGCCAGAGTCTTTGAATGACCCGGGATATTCATCCCAGATTTTTCTTCAACTAGGCCCAACTTCCAGGTACGAGATAAGCTGTCAATGGACTCACTGGGCTCCCCGAATTGCTTTCCTTTCCTTTTCCTGCTTCTTTGCAACCGCCTATGGTGGCGTTTCTCAGACAGATTGAGAGGTACTTCTTAAAACTGCCAAGGTTGAGAAACACTATAGCACCTGGGGAGCATGTTTGGTTGAGGAGGTGTCAGAAGGGCTTAAGCACCTGTGAACAGGCATCTATTAACAGATTAGCAGTATGTTTGACCACACTTTTGATGGATGGTTTGTGTGCTTTGCTTGGGCTCTGGGCTCTTTAGTTCTCTGGCTCAGGCACTGGAATTAGATAAGTTCTATTTATTTGCTAAATCTGGTATTGTTAAGTACTCTAGCCACACAAAGCATTTGTAACAGTAAAACTGTTTTCCAAATGTAGGCATGCAGTGTTCAACCTTTCCTTTCATAAATCCTTGACATGCAAATCCTGCGCATGTAGTTTTTACATTAAATAGGATAGGGATTAATTAGTAATATGGGTGCTTAAGCCTCTGCAAATCATAAACTTACTGCTAGTCCTCAACTTACGACTGCAGTTGAGATTGGAATCTGTCATTGAGCCAAGTGATTAAGGGACTTGTTCACTAAACAATTGCAATCCTTGCATCCCCAGTTGTAGTTGTTAGCTAATCTCCAGGGATGCTAACAGGAATTCCAGGTAAGGAATGCAAGGTGCACCGGGACGCTCTGAGAGGTGTCCACAGGGGGAGGAGGGAATACATAATTGGGCTGCAGAAATGAACCCAACATCTTCAGGATGCTAGGTCTGTTCCTGCAGCTCACCATTCCATCGACTGGTAGGAAATCCTTTGTCGAATTGCAAGAATGGATTTTAATGCTCCTGATACCCAATGAAGGATTTAAACTCCCACCCCCACACACCCAAAGGATGGAGGGGAAACCCTTCCTGGGGTTGGAAATGTCAGAAACCATTCACTCCCTTTCACTCTCAAACGAGCTGTCCTGCTAGGTGGGAATCTCAACTCTCATGGTTAGCAGTTTTTTGACACAGTTCTCAGAGATGAGACGGAATACTCTCAGGAGGCGGCGGCAGCTTGCATCCTTTCCTGCTGGCTTCCCCACTGACTTTCTGGGGAAGCCAGCAGAGATTGTAAATGACGATCACATGATCATGTGGTTTGGTGGCAACCAGCCATTAAGTGTGAAGAGGTTGCCAATGACCCAGTTTGCAATCATGAGACTTGGAGGATGTGGAAATGCTTTACAGCCGGAAGTGCCTTATGGGCCATAAAGTATCTTTTCCAAGGACATTGTAATTTCAAATGGTTGTTAAATGACTAGTTGTAAGTCTAGAGTTACCGGTATTTTGACCTTTAAAATCATGCCGAAAGAACAGGTCAAAATCTTCAGCCCAACATACCATTGAGAGGCTAGATTCTGCAAATGAGAAGCAGGATATACATTGTTGAAATCTGCCATTTCTTTGCACTTCAAAGAATGTCCATTTGTACATACTTTTATGATTGGTTCATCCTTCTATAAAGAATAGGACTACACTCTGGATAGGGCCACACTCTTCCATAGCAAAAAAAGATCTGGATCATCATCTTTCATTTCAGCAATGAAATAATTTTGCAAGTGAAGGAAAGGAGTCAAAATGTGGAAAAATAAAAGGAAATGTACAATTTTGAAAAATATTTAATACTCTCTTAGTAAACATTTAAAGCAAATTATTCTGAATTCTATCATACTGGACCACAGACCAATTAGCAAATAAAAATATAGAAGTGTTTTACAAAATGCAATCTATTTATATAAAATAGTATAGATTAAAAAAAGTTCTAAAAAGCAGTAGCTGTATTATCACTTTACTCAATGGAGCAGTCTTATTTGTGCAGCATTTTTTTTCCCTAAAGCAAGTCACAGCAATTATTGGTATCATGGTAAACCATTATGATAAAGTGAATAGCGCTCTGGGAAAGGGGAAAAAACAGAAGGTTTGTAGTACCCTTTTATATTAACACACTTTATTAAAACACGTTTGCTTTTATAGGCTACAGCTCACCTCATCAGAAGCATGGAGTGAGCTGTAGTTCAAAGAAGCCAAACTTTTTAATAAAATCTGGTAATCTGAAAGGTGGTACTGGATTCCTCCTAGTTTTTGGCTATCATAGACTAACACAGTTCTCTTCCTACAGTGGAATAGGAAAATAACTGAGAACACTATTGCTACACAAATGGTATAATAACATAATGTTTAAATGATATGTACAAAACTGTTATCACAGAATTACAGATTTTTTTTTATTTGATTGACTGGTTATTATAGTTTTTGAATTATGAGAACAGCCAATATTAATCTGAAAGCACAAATGAAATCAAAGATCTCATGCAAAAGGACAGGAGCCAGACAAGTGCAAGAGCTCAGTAAAGACAATTTTTTGAGAACCCTCCTCTCTTGAAAGCCTCGTGTCTTTTAAAATATGGGCTGTACCCAGAAACTTCCTTGAATATGCGGAAATATTTGTGCCAAAAGAAGAGAATCTGCTTGAATTCCCATTTAAAACAGAGCCAAAGTGAATTAAATAAAATGAAAAAGAAATCTGGACAATGCTTTATTTTTGACAGCACAATCCTATCATGTTCATTTAAAAAGTCTAAGCTCAAAAGTTTTACTTTGTACAAGCATTTATATGGCTGCAACAATGGAAATTCAAAGTTGAATAGGTTTCAAACAAAGCGCTTCAAAAATTTGTTAAATATTTGAAATGCTTTATATCAGGAAAGTAGAATATTTCAATTCTATTAGATAAAAAAAAATCACTTGAGAAAAAATAATGATGGAAGAACTTTTCTTTGCATTACACAAAATTCCCTGAGTTTTCTTCCTTTATATGGAATATGAAATCCTTGATCAGTTGAATGCAGTTCAAAAACAGACTGAATGTTGAGCCTGATGCCTCTTGTCACTTTCAATCTGATGCTACAATAATTTGGTTAACGGGGGAATCCCACCATCAAGCATTGACCACAATATTCTACAAAACCAAAATGCAGTTTCTGTACAATAAATTTTATATCAATGTACAAATGTGCAACATATCACCCAAAGCCATTAAAAATATACAGTTGAACTATCTCTTAAAATGCTAATGGGAAAAAAATCCAGCCATCAATAACAGGATAACAGGTGTTTTACAAAATGTAACTATTTACAATTTCAACCTCCCTGCCCCTTTGTTGCTTAACATAATTTCCTACTCTTTAAAATAAAATTAAGGTTTTACCTGAGCAAATTAGATACTGGAATGGCTTCTCTCATAAAGGGATTGACATATACATGCCAGTGCTCATAGCGGCACAAACAATTTTAAACTGGCACTCACAAGCTGGACATCTGCAATTTGAGGTACTTATTTAATCCCATACAAGATTCACATTGCTGTACTTTCTTCTATGCTTGAGGTAGGTAGGTAAGTAAACTGACTATAGAGGCTTATAGAATATGGCCACCTACCCTGCATTTTGCTATAAATGCATTTCAAGTTATAATTTGGCTTCTGTAGCAAAGAACCACTTCTTCTTTGATCAAACATACTCATCTGATATTGGGAATTTAATTGAGTTCAAATTCGCTTAAAATAAACTTTACATTTCAAAAGCAAGACTTGGCGGTCAAACTATGGAAAAAGGTATTCAATTCACTTGCTTTCCTCTGAATTTTTATGGCCAATCCTTAAGTTAACATAGAGTTTGAAAGCACAAGAGTGCCAGAAACAGCTTACTATTTTGCAAACATGAAGTTGTGCCACTGATACTGACAAGCATAAATCTGCAGTGACTAACCCTTATTTCACAATGTAGGCAGTGTAATCGCAACCAATTCCTATTACACGGCTGAAGTCACATATAGTCAAATGATCCAAAAACCCAAGAAAAGATGCGCCATGATTATCCTGGTAACATCAGAGACATTCTTCTTTTTCAGGTGAATGAATCATCGTATAAAAGTTAAGAAAATAACAAGACTAACAAGGATTAGGCTGCTACAATACGGTTCCATGGTTCCTTTGCACCTTTAGGAGACATAGTTAAGCTTTAAAATCCACAAAGGTAGGAAAATAGACGAGTATATGCTTATTTAAAAAGGCAATTTTAACAAGTTTTCTTTAAAAAAATACTTATCTGTTCCCTTCCCCTCCCCAATATATATATATATATATGTTTTCTTAAGTTTTCACGGGTACTCACATGTATGTTATTCAGCTTTGTTCAGGTATTTTCCCACGTCATTATACTCTTGCTTTTAAAGTTGTAGCAAC